CTTGGGGGACCCCGTTAGTCACACACATATTTAAGGCATTTTTCCTAGTAGGACATTAATTATTTTCTTACAGAAACGATGCCTCATCTACAACAATAATTTTGTTTTCATTTCTATGTTTTGGATCTTTCAAACTAGTCATTTATGAAAGACAAAACCGAAGTTAATGCTGTTTCTGTATCCATTAAATTTTTAAAGAAATGCTGCGTAGCGCAATGTGTTAGATATATCTGACTACCAACATTATGTTTGGTGGAAGAACACACATGTACAACAAATGTGGCATTTTATGTGACCTGTTTATCTAACATAATGTTGGATTATGTTGGTAGTAAAAGCCGTAAACAACAGCCACCAGCTGTTTGGACTTATGTCGTTTTGTGCACTTTTATTGATGTTTTCTTTTGTTTTAAAACAACAGTAGTTTGAAAGGCCTTCGTTGGGGATTTTTCAATACTGGCAAAATATTCCTTATTCCCCCCCCCCCCATATTTCAAAGAGGCATTTTTTTTTATTATTGAATTAATATTGTTTTTACACCAAAGCTATTTTAATTTTGGATAGTAGAACGAAATTTTCTGAATATGGTGGAAATCTTAAAAAATGTGAAAATATTTATATATACCAAGTTGTCCTTTTTTGTTTTAAATATTAATCTGTGAGAGACACCTTTCTGCTTTTGTTTTCGAGTATTGTTTTTCTAGTTATTTGTCTGAAGAAAAGACAAGTTGTGAAACAAGATTTTATTGAGACGTTTTGATGAATGAGACACTTGTGCAACATTTGGGTATCTTTATTGTGGAAACGTTTCGCCCGCCAGTGGCTTCTTCAGCTCGAAATGCTGTCATAAGTATGGGCTTTCTGTGTGTACAACTAAATGTCACCCATCACTGTACAAACACTGTATCATGCTGGTGGGAGACGAGATGTATCTCACTCATCAGCTTGTCGGTTTTCAGAACCATTTCTAAAATTATTAAGACGATGTTAGGGTCTTCAACGTGTCTGTGTTATTGAGGACGGTACGCCATTTTGATCCCGTCATTTCTACGTATACAATGACTATTGTTATATACTCGGATTATTTTATTCTTCATCTTTGTAGTGTTTCAATTTTTGTTGCATTAATCCAGTTTGTCGTCTATTTACACGTATTTATCAGTTCTCGTGTTTGTTTGTTTTTTCTCATGTGAGTTGTTTTGCAGGCAGCCATCTTGGAGCAGCCACAGGACTTGTACGTGTGTGGAGCGTCCTTGTTGGACGAAGCTTGGGTCCTTACTGCTGCTCACTGTGTTGATGATTAGTAAGTTATACCTCTTTCTTCCTCCCTCCTCTTTCCTCCTCCTTCTTACTCTTTCCTAATCTTTCCTTCTCCTCTTCCTCCATTACTCTTCTTCCCTTTCAATCTCGTTCGATCACAACACATTTTGTTTAAATTAGTGTTTTAAAGTTCCCACATCAGTTCATGTTACATTATAATGGATGCCCAGATTCTCTCATCCCTAAAAATATACAAGTTAATTAACCTTCTCACAATACTACAAGGTTTAAAACCCCCGTCTCCCCACTCACCTAAAACAAACTTCACTTGTTTTACAAAGCTAATAGCGTTTTGCGACCCATTCGGCCCATAAAACGCCCAAAAACGCTTTCTTGTGAATATAATAATAGAGAATAAATTTCGATCGCTGGTGGATCTGAGAATGGCATCCCCGGTATCCTTAATCTTTGTTCCAGGTATCTCGACCCACGTAAGAGGCAGAGTAATTCAACCTTTAAACCCTGATGAAGCAGAAGACTTGTTTCTAAACTCCCTCAAGAGATTTAGAACCCTCTTGATGTATATCTCAGTATGTACTGAAATATACATCTCTCAGTGTATATTACCTTATGGTGTTGACTCTGTCATTTATTGTTTCTGTGTATGGTCAGTTTCTTTATATAATTACCGAGATGCCCGTCGGACTCGTGAATTTTTATTCTTTTATTTTACATTACTCCAGTTAACTTTTTAAAAATGCCAAGGTATTTTAAACCCATTTAACATTAATTATTTG